CACTCTAACTTCAAATCGGCAGGATCGATCAGCTTCTCAATAATATAAGAAGTGGCAGATAGATGTATTATATTAATGCGTCAATAAATAATGAAAAAAGTAAACAATTATTGCGATTATCAAACCTTGGTTTATTCATCTAATTTTTAATGGTGTATCTTCTCCGATTGTACCTAAAAAATATTCAATAAAGCATAAACAAAATCACGTGACTGCCACTTTTTTCCGTCATTACCTCAGAGTGGCCTGACAATTTCTTTTTAGCAAACATAGTAGCATTAACCTTTAAAGCGTGTAAATTCTGGATCCATGGAGTTATTTCTTGAATATTTTGAGACAACGCCACCGGGAAAATACCGATTTCTCGATTATTACCAGTATTGTAAAAGCCGGGATGGCTTCACAGGTAATTTTCGCCAAGAAGCAAAAAGACTTCAAGTTGCCTTGGAACACCTGGTGAAAAATGAATCGGATTTAAGGAAACAAAAAGCTCAATGTTTGCTTGATGTTTTTGAGGCGAGTATCTTTTTTCATTTCATTATGATTACTGGCAAACAGTATGGAGGGCCCTGTTAAGTCCCGAGAAGGGGAACATACTTCCACGACTACGGTGAGCGCGTACGCTCCGCTCACTTTATGGCGTTCATTAGATCCCGTCGTGGTCTACAAGTTTTGTAGAGGTGGGGGCCTCCAGCAGTCCTGAGAAGGGGTAACACTCACACAACTATGGCGGGTGCCTACGTACCACCCGACCTTACGGCGTTCATTAGATCCCGTTATGGTCTGCTTTGCCAGGGGGTTGTCTGCTTTCCAGTGAGGATAAGATAGTGACAAATTGTGTATTATACATCTTGTAGAACCATCGAAAAAGGAACGTGGATATCGATAAATTCTGGAATGAAGTTGAAGGTGAATCTCTGGATATAGAGCATGCCAAAGAAAAAAAACGATTACAGCTGGACCAGGTCAATAATTTATATTTACTTTGATGTTGTTAAATATTATATGGCTAATGATTGCTCTGAATTGCAGTTGAAAATAGCTCGTGTTATGACAAAGGGAACTGAAGATGGCGTTGGAAATATTATGAAAAATGTCAATATGGAGCTGGTATGGCAATTTACATGTAACATTGTTAAAAATGACCTACTAATTCAACAAACTTTATGGTTTATTCGTAGGTCGAGCCAGCTACTTATCTTAAAAGAAGACGAGATGTTGATTACAAAGAAGATCGAGATGGGTACACTACGCCTTGTCCAAACAGTCCAATGATGAATAATCCGGAGGACGAACCGAAACCAAAAAGACGGGCTAAGACTGATGATAAGTCTTGCACTTCATCTGCCGGAACTAGTGATGATGTGGTCAGTGACATAAATGATATGATTCTGTTTATGTATTTTTTTTCTTTTCATTTTCGGCTCAGCCGATTGGTATTGATTTTACAAAATACAAGAGTGTGGATGACGAGTCCGAAGAATCCGAAGAAAGTGATGAGGAAGACGAATTGAGGCTAGACGTGGAAGAAATTGGGTTTGAAGAATACATCGATCAAGGGAATAAACCTGTAAGTTTTTTTTTATCAAAATAAACTGCAAGTATGATTTCGCTAAATCAATAACCGTTTTATAGTTCATTTTCAAAACAAAAAACATATCGTCACTATTTAAGTCATATCGATCCAAAGCGTTAGCTCATGCGCAAAATTCTGGTCTGATAATAACGAAAAATTATCACGAAATATTGTAGGTAGAACTTTTAAATGGAATGTCTTTTTAATGATTAACTTTACTGATGGA